TCACTTTATTAATCATTATAATTATCCTTTTTTTTCAAGAATATCATACTGTTTCTTAAATTTACCATTTTATCCAATTCCACAATAAAGGACACATGTGGGACATGATATTTCCATTTGGCAAATGGTGAAGCAATTCTCAGTTTTCTACAAAGTTAACCTTGCTGTGGGGTTTATTAAGTTCTATCAGTTCAATCACCTTCCTTCATCAATCAGACCCTGCATACATTAAGAACTCTTGAGTATACATTTAACAACTATCCAGTATACATTAAGAACTCTTCAGTATACATTAAGGACTCTTCAGTATACATTTAACAACTCTCCAGTATGCATTAATAGCTCTTCAGTATATATTAATAGCTTTCCAGTATACATTAAGAACTCTTCATTATACATTTACAACTCTCCAGTATACATTATGCATTCTTCAGAATACATTTAACAACTCTCCAGTATACATTAAAAACTCTTCATTATAGATTAACAACTCTCCAGTATACATTAAGAATTCCTCATTATACATTAACAACTCACCAGTACACATTAAGAACTCTTCATTATACAAAAACAACTCTCCAGTATACATTAATAACTCTTCAAATTACATTTAACAACTCTCCAGTATACATTAAGAACTCTTCAGATTTCATTTAGCAACTCTCCAGTATACATTAAGAACTCTTCAGATTACATTTAGCAACTCTCCAGTATACATTAATAGCTCTCCAGTATACATTAAGAGCTCTCCAGTATACATTATGAATTCTTCAGTATACATTTAACAACTCTCTAGTATACATTAGGAACCCTTCAGTATACATTAAGAACTCTTCAGTATACATTTAACAACTCTCCAATATACATTAACAACTCTCCAGTATACATTAAGAACTTTTAAGTATACATTAAGAAATCTTCAGTATAAATTAAGAACTCTTCAGTATAAATTAAGAACTATTCAGTATATATTAAGAACTAATTAGCATACATTTAACAACTCTCCAGTATACATTAGCAACTCTCCAATATACATTAAGAAATCTTCAGTATAAATCAACAACTTTCCAGGCTATAATAGCAACTCTCCTGTATATATATAAACAAGTTAGAATAGAAAATTTAAAGTACATGTGTTATAGTATTTGAAATAGTAAATTATCAAAAAATTCAGCCGTAATTATAGCAAATCCTTATTTGAGCTATGTTCAAAAGATTAGTTTATACTAGAATACACAATATTTCAGTTTAGGGGTGTTCCATTTCAACATACAAGGGAAGACACTATTCTATAATAATTTTAATGCTATGGAACTGATTACTCAAAAAGCTCATATGAAATTGAATCCAAATTCTATAGTGTATGCATAGATTACAAATGAAGATTAAAGTACCATCCCTAAATTAAACGTGTATTTTATTGGTTCAGCTCTTACTCTATTACACACTACACAAAATTGTGACATGTCAGTTCTACAGTTACACTACAAAGAGGATTATGACATGTCAGTTATACAGTTACACTATATACAGGAGTGTGACATATCAGTTACACTATATACAGGATTCTGAAAATTCATTTATACTGTTACATTATATACAGGATTGTAACATGTCAGTTCTACTGATACACTTTATCCAAGATTGTGGCATGTCCGTTATACTGTTACATTACAATACTGGATTGTGATATGTTATTTATACTGTTACACTACAAACAGGATTGTAACATATCAGTAATATTGTTGCACTATATACAGGATTGTGACATGTCAGTTATACTGTTACAAAATATACAGGGCTGTGACATTTTTGTTGTACTGCTACATTATATACAGAATGGTGACATGTCAGTTATACTGTTACACTATATACAGGAGTGTGACATGTCAGTTATACTGTTACACAACAGAATTGTTAAATGTCATTTATACTGTTAGATTACAAACAGGATTGTAACATATCAGTTATACTGTTACACTACAAACATGATTGTGACATGACATTGATACTGTTACACTACAAACAGGATTGTGATATGTCATTGATATTGTTAGACTAAAACAAAATTGTGACATGTCATTTATGACTAAACCAAAATTGTGACATGTCATTTGTTCTGTCACACCATAAACATGATTGTGACATCCAAGTTATACTGTTAGACTGTATACAGGATTGTGACATGTTACTTATACAGTATCACTATATACATGATTGTGACATGTCAGTTATACACTTACAATATATACATGTTGCGACATGTCAGTCAAATTGCTACTCTATATACAGATTGTGTCATGTCAGTTATACAGTTTCAATACAAACATGATTGTGACATGTCAGTTATACTGTTACACTATAAACAGGATTGTAACATGCTAACTATACTGTTACACATTATACATGATTGTGATAGGTCACCTACAATGTTACACTATATATAGGATTGTGGCATGTCAGTTTTACAGTTACACTAAATACAGGTTTGTGACATGTCAGTTATACAGTTACACTATATACAGGGTTCTGACATATCAGTTGTACTGTTACACTATATACAGGATTGTGACATGTCAGTTATACTGTTACAAAATATATAGGATGACATGTCAGTTGTACTGCTACAATATATACACATTGTGTAATGTCAGTTCTACTGTTTCAATACAAACAAGATTTTGACATGTCAGTTATACTGTTACACTATATACATGATTGTGAAAGGTCACCTACACTGTTACACTATATACAGGTTTGTGGCATTACAGTTATAAAGTTACACTATATACAGGGTTGTGACATGTCAGTTGTACTGTTACACTATATACTGGATTGTGACATGTCAGCTATACCGTTACAATACAAAAAAAAATTATGATATGTCAGTTATATTGTTACATTATATACAGGATTGTGATATGTCACCTACACTTTTACATTATATATAGGACACACAAGAACATTGATATATAATAACTGTAAATAGACTACAAACACTAAATGATGTGTTTAAATTATTATACACTATTAATTATAAACAAAAGAGGATGAAAAGGTTTTAAAAATATTTTCAAATATATTTGTAGCATATGAACAAACTTTGTTAGTTGGCCTGCTTATTGAAACATATAAAACTGCTTCCATTCAAATTAAGTGAAAATATAAAAACTAAGCAAATATGTACAAATCTGCAATAACTTAGTTTAATTTTAGCAATTATCTACAATGCCCACGAAAGCCTATTGTTTATGCCATGATAGTCCACATAACTTGAATTACTGGTACTGACTGATAGTGTGTAAAAATTTTAGAGTTCAGACATGACTGATAGGAATATGCAACAATTGACATGATGACTTTTCCATATCTTTATAATCCTCTCACACACACACACAAACATAGAGAGATAGGCACACACACACACACACACACATAAGGCACCAATACAGGGAGCTATACCATCGGCTCTCATAGAGGTCTCATAGAGGACGGATGCCAACCATATATATATATATATATATATATATATATATATATATATATATATATATATGGACATCTACAAACAGGATTGTAACATGCTCATACCTTTTGATTAAGTAATTTTGGTGGCTATAAGCATAACTTGTGACATTTTTGTGTCAAAAATATTGCATGCAATATACTTGGTTACTGTATTAGTGTCCATGAGTCCATGAAGCATGAAGATACATTATCAAACAGCCAATTGACTAGTAGTTCAACACACAAAAAATTATATGTCATGGAAGTTCTGATTATATACTCACTTAACTTCAGTAATTACACCTGTTCATTTCCTTCCCCTTCCTCCCCATTTCAGCTTTCTTTAGTTTGTGACCTTTGTCAGATGTTGAATATGATTGTATTATTTAAATTTTGTAACATCGATTTTGTGTTTTTCTGCATCCAATTATAAATTTATGGCATAAGGTGTCAAATTCACAACAGTTATTAGTTTATAGCAATCAATATATTTTATTGAGATGCTTGTATCCTGCTCTCTCTCTCTCCCTTTCCACAAGAAATTATGAATTTTGTTGGTTTTGGTTTATTTTGTTTTTGAGGGTTTATTTCTGTAATTTCTTGTTCATCTTTATTATTATTTTTTATTTTATTATTTTCTGTATACTTTTGTCTTTACATCAAAGTCATTTTATAATATTTCAACAATCTTTCCTCACTTTTATTGATATTCTTTTTTTCTTCCTTTGTCTTGGTACAGATCTAATCTCTATTGTTTTTGGAGCTATTACTTATGAGTCTGTTAACCCTCTTTTATGTCATCCTTCTGTGTGAATATTCTTTTGCCTTTTTTATCAGTATTGATTTAGCTATCATTAAGTTTCAGAATTTTTTTTTTGTTTATTGCCCTTCTGGGAGGGTAATTTTTGTGTCCAGTCATGGAACACCAAAATTTATGTAAACAAATCTTGAAGCATGAACTCAGATCAAACTTTTATGAGTAGCATTCATCACAGGTGACCACTTAAGTGAACAAATCTGACTGTGTGGATGTTTATCAAATAAGATGTAGATCTGATCTGAAATACACCTAATTTCAAGCCAATTAATACAAAGGTGATGATCTCCAAACATGACAAAGTAAGGAAAAATGTGAATGAAAGAGGCCTAGAGAAATTGAGAGACTTGCACATTGATTACTTATTCAGCAGCAGTTATAAGTATAAAACAGAATTAGTAATAACAATATACTCTATGTTTGGTTTCTTCAATGATGTGATGTAATGTGATTATGATTTTTAACTTAGTTTTAAAAAATTTTCAGTCATATCGCTACGATGTCTGCAGTGTGACAGTTTATAGTGATGTCTAGTACTGAGGCACTATGCCACAGACATGTAGCATGATGTCCCACCCAGTCACATTATTCTGACACCAGGTTGACCAATCCTAACACTAACCTCTTAATGCTAAGCATCAAGCAAGGCAGCTGTTAGTAACATTTTTGCAAGTCTTTGATATGACTCAACAGGGATCGAACCCACAACTTCCCGCATCCTGACCACCCGCATCCAAGGCAGATACTCTAACCACTAAGCCAGCAGAGAGGTTTGTCCAATGAAATAATGTTGTTGTTGTTGTTGTTGTTGGGCTTAATGCCATTTTTCAGCACACAATAGGCTATTCATGGCGGCCAGTAATAATGGTGGAAGAAGAAACCGGGAAATCACCGGATAGAACCACCGACCCACGAGAAGCTACTGGCAAGCTTTCTCACATATCTACATTAGCTGAATCCTAGAACACACACAGACAGAGGTGAGATGGCAGTGATCCGTAATGGACAACACTTTAAACCACTCGACCACTAAAGGCCCCTCAATGAAATAATGAACAGTACTTGTATTTAAAAGGTTAAAAAAAGTAGCAAATGTTTTATTCATGAAACGATTTATACAAAAATCTGACACATTAACTGCTTTTACATTCTGTATATTCAGTGTTAAACTGTCAACAATACAATGCCTTCACCATATTTGTGCTTAAAATAGAGCAAACTGGGACTGACAATTTTTTGTAGAACTTTAATCCATTCATGTTTCTCAAATGTTTGAAAATTTCATTTATTATTGTAAATAGTTATGATGACTTTGTGAATTAAAGGACACAAATTGCCCTTCTGCACTGTTTACTACAGTATTGGATAGAGTTATTACATTATTTTATAATTTTCAAGTTCACAAAATTTTGCATGTGAATTAAATCCTAATCAATCAATTTCCATTATTACACATTTTAGTGAATATAGGTAATGCTTTATCATAATATATAATGGAGGTTGAGTTTGGAATACTGGCATGGTTAATCATTGTGATGCTTCATTTGTGGTCTAACTTACCAACTAAGACAATGAAAATTGGTACCTCACAAATTTAAAGCAACTGACAAGATATTTCTTTGTTAAGTATTGCTCATTGTCTTTTTCTTAAAACAAAATAACAGGATAATATAACTTGTTAATGAAAAATAATTTCTGCAGATTATTAAACAAACATGGTGAGAACTTGAATTATACAATTCCTAACAGTCCTAATATTTCATTAAACATCTTTATTTTTCTATTATATATTCTAATTATCATATCTCTTCCACAAGTTTTATTATCAATAATGCATTTATAGCTGAAATGGGAAGACTTGGGTATGACATAACATATCATCCACCTTATTTATAACATATTAACTATCTCAGTGACACATAAGGTAACAAATAAAAGTTTTTTATCATCTCTGTCTTAGATAATGGATCTTTATTCTCCCAAAAAATTATATTAATTTATTTTTAGTTTTGTCAGTAAGTTTTCAGAATTCATGCAACACACATTTGGCATGAAAATATTGAAACACAGTATATTTTGTAAACAAAATGACCATTTATTTCTTTGAACAATCTTAATTACCCATGTTTTTTATATTTTCAAAATATTTGTCAATTGTTCCTCAGTAGAGATACATCAGAGAGAATCAGAATCATTTATTAAATTCAAACAATTCTTGGAACAAGACCAAAATTTATCCTTGTAGGATATACAGTGGGTTATGGGTAATTATTATTCTGTGACTAATTAAGCAAGAGTTATAAACTGCTTGTAGTAAAACACCTGTCCCAAAGAAACCTATCAATATTACCACATACATCTAACTACCTTAGATTTTACTCTCCATTATGTAAAGTAAATTTTCTTATTTATTTTCATTTTTACCTTCCCAGTAATGAAATTTCATGATCACTAATTAAAAAGCAGTGGTAATGCATATGGTATTGAATGATTAATTAACGACTCTAAAGACCACCAAGGAATAGTCTTTACTGTTGGAAAGACTCCCTCCTGAATTAGTAGATCACAAATGTAACCGTCAGATAGCCTTTAAGCATTTTCTAATGCTTCAGATGCATCACTACATGTTGGGTACCAGCTGCCAATATCTTTCATATGCTGTATTGCATTCTTCACAACCTCTAGTGATCCTTGAAATTTACCAACAATACCTGGCAGATTCTTCATTGTTAATGAAACTTCCTCCTGGATAAGTATATCCAAAACATCAGAGTTATGTTCCAGATATGCAATTTCTAAAGCTTTAGATGCATCTCTACATTTTGGATCCCAATTACCAGTCTCTTTCAAATTTTGTATTGCTTTGTTAGCAGTCTTTAATTGCATTTTATTAGCAACAATACCCAATGATCCTTTAGACACATGTGTAACAGGAGGTAGATTCATTGCTAGTGAGATTCCATCTTGAAACAATAGTTGACTCACATCAATCCTTTGTTTACAAAAAGACTTTTCTAAAGCTTCAGATGCATCATCACACTTGGGATCCCAATTACCAGTGTGTTTTAAATTCTGCACTGCCGTCTTAAAAGATTCTAATGATATAATACCAGGAAGATTCTTCATTGTTAGTGAGACTCCATCATGAATCAGTAGTTGACACACATCAAACTTTTGTTTACAAAAAGCCTTTTCTAAAGCTTCAGATGCATCATCACACTTGGGATCCCACTTACCAGCATCTTTCAAATTCTGTATTGCTTTTTCAGCAGTCTGTAATGATGTTTCACATATGACACCAGGCAGATTATTCATCATTAGTGACACTCCCTCCTGGATAAGCAGATTACACATGTCATAGTTCTCTTTATAAAAGGCATTTTCTAATGTTTTTGATGCATCATCACACTTAGGATTCCATTTACCAGAGCAAATCAAATGGTGTTTTGCTTGCATAACTGATTTTGTCTGAACACCTGGTAGATTCTTCATAGTTAGTACAACCTCTTCCTGAATCAAAAGTTCACAAACATCATACATTTGTCTCTTAAAAGCCTTTTCTAAAGCTTCAGATGCATCATCACACTCTGGATCCCAATTACCAGTGTCTTTTAAATTCTGTATTGCTTTCTCAACATGCTTTAATGATATTTCATATCCACCTATAACACCACATAGATTCTTCATTGTTAGTGAGACTCCATTTTGTATCAATAAATCATATACATCAAATTTCTGTTTACAAAAAGATCTTTTCAAATATTCAGATGCATGATCAAAACCTGGATCCCAATTACCAGTGTCTTTCAAATGCTGTATCACCTTTCTCATCATGTGTAAGTTACAACCCAAAAGCTATCCATAATGCTAGGAAGATTCTTCATAGTTAGGGAGACATTCCTGTGGATTAGCAGATTACACACATAATAGTGATTTTTACAAAAAGCATTTTTCAAAACTTCAGATGCATCATCACACTTGGGATTCCAATTATTAGTGTCTTTCAAATGTTGTATTGCTTTCTCAATGGTTGCAATGATACTTTTTTGCATGTATTTATAATACCAGGAAGATTCTTCATTGTTAGTGAGACTCCACATTGAATCAGTAGTTCACATGTGTCAAACTTCTCTTCACAAAAAGCCTCTTCTAAAGATTTAGATGCATCATTACAATTTGAATGCCAGTTACCAGTGTCTTTCAAATGTTGTATTGCTTTCTCAAAAGTCTTCAATGACCTTTCTATAATGCCAGGTAGATTCTCCATTGTTAGGCTGACTCTCTCTTGGATCAGCAGATCACATCGATCATAGTTCTGTCTTATATAAGCCTTTTCTAATGCTTCAGAAGCAGCATAACTCTTGGGATTCCAATTACCAGTGTCTTTCAAATTCTGTATTACTTTATTGTAAGATGCTGATGATAAGTCTGATAATAATCTTATAATAATCTTACTTGCTCCAAAGGTAATGGAACTCCCTCCAGAATCAGGAGATCATGCACATCATGAGAGTCATTCTCAAAAGCAATTTCTAATGCTGTTGATGCAGCATCACATTTGGGATTCCAATTACCAGTTTTTTTAAGATGCCTAATTACTTCTTTAATACTAAGGAATTCTGAATCATCATCATCGACTATATAAGCTACAAGATCTGGTAAATCGGCCATTGTTAGTGAGACTCCATTACGAATTAGTAAATAACACAATTCGCAGTTGTCTCGCTTATAAGCCTCTTTTAAAGCTTCAGATGCACACTTTGGATCCCATTTACCAGCATCTTTCAAATCACTAATTACTTCAAAAGCAATTTCTATAACATCACCAGATAAATGATTATATTCAAACAATAAACAGAAAAGATTTTTCGTTGTAAATGAGACTCCATTCTGAGTTAGTAGAGTATATATATCATTATCCCTGTTTCCGTCATTTAGTAGAATCCATGCATCATAATCCATGTACTCATTATTATAACTACCCTCTGTCAAAAATGTGAGCATGTTATAATAATCAGACTTTGTGCTTATAAAGGCCTCTTCTAAAGCAAACAATGCATCATCACACATGGGATTCCAATTACCAGTCTCTTTCAAATGTTTTATTGCTTTCTCAGCAGTATATGATGTACCATATATAACACCAGGTAGATTCTTCATTGTTAATGAAACTCCATTTTGAATCAGAAGTTCACACACCTCAATTGTCTCTTCACTAAAAGCCTTTTCTAATGCTTCAGAAGCCACATCACACTTTGGATTCCACTCCCCAATGTCTATCAAATGTTGTATTGCTTTCTTAGTGGTCTCTAATGATCCTGAATTTGTAACACCAGGTAGATTATTCATTGTTAGTAAGACTCCATTATGAATCAGTAGTTCACACAAGTCATCCTTCTGCTCCCTATAAACCTTTACTAATGCTTTAGATGCAACATCACATTTGGAATTCCAGGTGTCAGCATCTTTTAAATGCTGTATCAAAGTTTCAACAGTCTTCTGTGAAAATTTTAACACATTTTCAAGCATGCCCATTGAAACCTTTACTCCGTTTTTCACCAGACAGTCTGCCATATCAAGCTTCTCATTAGCATAGGCTAAATAAAGAGCTGTGGAAAATGGATGATTATCAGTCTTATCAGATATATAAAAGGCATTGCTAGACATACAACTATCAAGGTAACTGTAATCTTTATCTGTTACATCTATATCCCAATGTGGTATCCATTTATTATGACATCTTAAATGTTCCACAATATCCAATA